CCCTTAAGGGGGCCCAGCCTCCCCTTCACTCAAGGGGTTGTGGGTCTCTAAACTCACCCAAGTCCAGGAATTGATTGAGGGGCCCTGAGTCTTTATTCTGGTGATTTGAGTTAGACTGCTGTTCACTTGACCTAGAATTCTTCAGCTTGTACAGATCAAGAAAATATTTAGTAGATTTCCTACCTATTTCACTCCTAGGGACACCATGACTAAGTAACCAATGCCATAAGTCCACACAAGTCAGACTATTCTGATTACTGCTTTGACTCTACTGTCCATTACGGTAACCACGCCCACCTTGTCTTTCTCAATTGAGTGCTGCCGCTTGGCCCCTACCACCACGGGGTCCAGTCAGCCTCACTGTAGTTAGATTTCTTAATTCAGTTAGGGAGTTTCCTACTGTCAAATCTGACTTACATAAAATAGCAAGCACAGTAGTCTTCAAGGATGCTGGGGCTCCTTTCATAAATTCATTCCTCATGTTGTGGTAAAAGGTGTGCCCTCTGGGCACTCCATGTGTGGGTCTGTGGATCTAACCTGATAAATCCACTCTAGCATGCCAGTTTCCCTAAGCCTTTGGATACCTTCTTCTACAGTATACCAAGGCAGGTCTGGTACTTCACCTTGATTTAGTGTAGGCCACCACATAGTCTATGCTTCAGTGACACAACCAAATAAACTATTAGATCTTTTTCTAACCTCTCGAGCTGAAACAATGAATGAAGAATCTGTGCTTAGTGGGCTCATATCAATAAACTCGGAATGATCCATCTTTATGTTCCTTGCACCATTATCCCACACCGTTAATAGCCATTCCCACACATATTCTCCAGGTTTCTGTTTGTACATGTTAGGAAAGTCAAGCAGTTATTTTGGAGTGTAGTGTACCTCCACCTGAGTCACGCTTTTTATTTCACCTTTTGGGGCTCGCTGGGACTTAAGTCTAGTTACAGGTCTAGAAGCCAAAATCAATGGTGGGGATATGTTTTGAGAACATGTAGCATTGTCTTGTAAGGCATCTGCCTCAGGCGATGCCCCAGGCAGTGACTCAGACAAAGGCTCTTTAGACACAGCTGGGTTAATCTCATTAGATGGGGGTGGAGAGGCTAATGGTTTTACTGGGGAGGGTGGCTTAGCAGACAAACATGAATTAATCTCTTCAGATGGGAGTGAGAAGTCTGGTTGTGTTGGCAGGAGTGATTCAATGGAATTTAGGGGCTCATTGTCTCCAACTTCCTGATTATCTGCCCACATGTCCCCATCCCAAGTTTCAGGATCCCATTTCTTCCCAATCAATACCCTCACTTTAACTTCAGACACCCTGGAGGTTGGGAATTGAGTTGGCATTGCAATTCAGCCACTCTTACATTAAGTCTCTGGGTTTGATTTTCAGCAGTATCAGCTCTGTTACTACAAGAAATAAGGCTTTCTTTCAAGGCACAAGTGGAAACTTTGAAGGCATTTATGCAGCACTTGAGCTTTGCCTCTGAAGCCCCTGAGCTCATCTCTTTCTTTCACTACTTTGTTTAGCGAAAGTAGGACCAACCAACCAACTTCCTTATACTTCTAATTATGACAAAACTGTAGAAAGGTATTGCACATGTGATCATCTGGAGCCTCACCTTTCACCAATACCTGATCTATTGGTGTTGATATTTTGCATATTTGTATTGCCCCCTCATGCCATGGATTAGCAGTGACCGCTAAGGAAACAGAGTCATCAACACCTTTAAGACTAAATAGACTTGAGAAGCAATTTAGAAAATTCATCCTTACAATTTTGTTTCTCTAGAACCACTCTTGGTACCAAATGTCTTAGGCTGGCTTCTCTAGAGAAGCAAAACCGGTAAAGCATATAAATATATATAGAGAGATTTATATCAAGGAAGTGGCTTGCTCAATGGTAGAGACTGGAATGCCCCAAGTCCGTGGGTCAGGATAGAGGTGTCTCCTGATTCGCATAGCCACAGGGGCTGGCAAACCCAAGATCAGCAGGGCTCTTGCTCACAGGCTGTGAAGATTGACGAATCCCAATATCGGCAGGCAAGATGGCAGGTAAGCTGCTAGCTCAAGTCCCAAGAACCAGAGGTCAGACAAACAGGAGCCAGCTGCAGGATCCAGAGCCAGCCAAGCCTGAGATCCTTGCCAGAAGGTCCACTCATATTCGATATGGTCCACACCCCTGAGGAAACTCCCTTTCAACTGATTGGCTACTCACAGCAGATCCCATCATGGAGGTGATCATATTATATCAAGTCTCATCACGGAAGTGATCACATCATCATACAACTGCCAAACTACATCATAACTGCTAAACCACTAAGAATCATGGCCCAGCCAAGTCGACACACATCCTTAACCATCACACCTACTGTGTGCTCACACCTCCCTGATAAACCCTCCCATCATAAGTCCCCCTCTGCCTATGTAAACACACTTAGGGTTGGCATTGGCATTCTTTTCTAAAGAATTCTAAAACATCTCTTTCCGGATTACCTTCAAATCTAATAAGCCTTATGAGAACTTGGAGTCTCTGGGTGGTGCAGACAGTTAACATGCTACACTACTAGCTGAAAGGTTGGCAGTTCGAGTCCACCCAGAGGCTCCTTAGAAGAAAGCCTAGTGACCTACTGAAAAATTAGCACTGAAAATTCTATAGCACACAGTTCTACTCTGACACCGTGGGGTCATCATGAGTCAGAATTGACAGCTACAGGTTGACTGGTCTCCTCATGAACTGTGAGTCACCACACACCTTGAACTCTCTGACTGGAAATCTGTCCCAGCACCAATCCCAGGCCCTCATGTCTGGGCACTCTCCCAGCAGCAGAGACGTGCGGGTAGCATCACACTGTGGGCTGTGAATCACAGGTAGTCCCCACAGAAGTCCAGTGGTCTGTAGTACATCGCAACTCATGGGCAAAACTTAGACTCAGGGTCCAGGCACCTGCCCAGGGCACAGCCAATAATCTCCTCTGCTGGGATTTGACTCTGGGTCTCTGGGACCTGAAACCAACATACTCTTTCTCACTGTATCATGCTGTGTATAATATATATTAAACAGGAAGGGGGAAAAGTGTGAGTTTTAATTGACCCACTTGTTCAGTGACATGAAGAAAGGGAAGGCAGGAGAGGACAGGCAGGCAGTGGGGACCTCGCCTTCCTGGCCCCTGTAGGCTGCTGTTCTGGTAAGAGCTCTAAGTGGAGTGGGCAGTCCTGGCTTAGAGGCTGCAGATACATAGCAGCCAGCAGCCAGCAGCCACCCGAGATGTGACGGGATCAGTAAACTGTCGGCAGAAAATGTTTAGGGTTGTCTTCATCCATAGGCAGTGTTTCTTCTCCACATTTGCCCTCTAACTAAGAGTCTTGCAACAAAAACTGGGAAGGAAGCAAGAGGAGAGAGGTTATTGTTAAAAAGCATTCACTGCATTCAGATATATTGCCTTGTGCATTTGTGCTTCTCCAGTCAGTTCGTCTTTTATGTTCTGTGCTTTCCTTCTGAGCTCTTGTGTGAACTGTGTATTCTTTTAAAATTTTGGTTGTTTGTTTCCTTTATTGTTGGGGATCTCAACTAAGCCAGCCTCTGAAAGGGTTTTCTCTTGGGTGCTCTCCTGGTTTTGTCAATTGTGTATTGTTGGTCTCCTGTCCAGTTAACATGATGGGTTGGGTGCAATTGTGATGTCATTTTGCTGTCAGTGTGTGTGACTTCAGAGATGTCTACGGGCTTTATCATTTTAGACATCCAGTAACTACTGATTGGAGGAATGATTTTAAAACAGAATACACCAAACCTACAACAAAACACAGCCCTTATTTCCTGGACTAACATAAACAATGCTTAGACATAAGATGCTTAGCTCTTAAAGTGTCTTCAAGTTTAAAATTTATTTTGGCAATAAAAAAAAAAGTCCCAGTATGTAGTTGGCCTGGAGCTATGCATTTCTGTCTTTCAAACTCCAGCATTAGAAACCAGTTCCAGTGATCTTAGAGAACCCAGGAGCTCAGTAAGAAAAAAATAATAACTTCATACTAATTTAATGTATCTGTCTCTAAATAGCTAGATAAATGTGCAGAACAGCTACAGTGTTCCTCATTATTAGTATTAATGTTCAAGGGAACTGGGCCTTTGCTAAAACCAAAAAACCAATCCCATTGCTGTTGAGTCGATTCTGACTCATAGCGACCCTGTAGGACAGAGTAGAACTGCCCCATAGGGTTTCCAAGGAGCAGCTGGTGGATTCAAACTGCTGACCTTTTGATTAGCAGCCGTAGCTCTTAACCACTGCACCACCAGGGCTCTGGGCCTTTACTAATAGTTGCAACTCTGTGCATCTCCTTGCTTCTGCTGTCATAAATATTAGCGCAGGGGCCCTACACCCTCAACCAAGGACACTAATGTTTTATTCTTTTTCATTTTACTGGAAGACTGACTTCCACAATCATCTCTTTTATCACACTGCCTCCCATGTAAAAATTAAAGGAGAGCCAGATACTAACTGAGCCAGATACTGAGGAGTTGAGTCATTAATGTTTTAGGCCAAAATTCCAAATGTAAAAGATTTGTCAGAAGTTCCCAAACCAGTATTGTTTACTTATAAGTTTGTTTACATTTCTAAACAATCGAATTACTCTTTTTAAAAAAAAGAATTCATTTTAAAACAACTTCAGTTAAACCAAGAGTCAAGACTAGAAATAATCACATTCACAATTCCATTAGTTTGAACTTTTAAATATTTGTCCATAGACTTATCTAGGATAAAAATAAAAGAAGCTAATGAATAAAGTGCTAACTTTCAAGGTGGAGGGGGTTTGCTCTCCATCACAGGTATGCACTATGGCTCATTCAAGTTAAAATTTTTCCAGAGGAAGCTGTTGCCTTTGAGTGAATGTCTTCCTTTATTCTTAACACCCTCAATTCCAAATTCCTGAGTAATCAGACAAACTGATGTTGCCTTTGTTAGGTGGTCTGAGCTGACCTGTCTTTGCTGTGTTTTACCCAGTGAGTCTGCCCCTGGGGCCCAGTAGCAATTGCACAGTGGATGCCGGCCCGCTGACAATCTCCGAGGCGGAAGAGACTGCATCTGTGGGCAGCTGCTTTGCATCGGAGGACACCACTGAAGACTCCGGAGTGATGAGCTCCCCTTCAGACATCGTCTCCCTGGATTCACAGCATGACAGTATGAAGTCCAAAGACAAGTGGACCACAGACCAGGAAGACTGCAGTGACCAGGATCTAATGGGAACCCCAGAACTGGGTCCCCAAAGGAGCCCCACATGGGAGAGGAATAGCTCTGGCCACTCGCATCGAAGGTGAGTCATGTGACAGCTGAAAAGTGCAGTCATTCACACATCTGACATCCCGGGCTTAAAAGAGGTAAGACGTCTGTCGTTATATTCAGGCTGCTCCGTCTCTCATTTCAATCCAGTAACTCTTCATTAAGGCACCACCGCCCTTCTGAATTTGGAGTTTATTATCCATGTGCATGTTCCCATGATGTTTGTAGATATGCAGGTATTTATAAATAATATACAATATTGTTTTGTTTGATTTGATACTTCATATACATGGGGTCATAATCTCAGGATACTTTTTTACTGAACATTGTGTTTTTAAGATGTATCCATGATGACACATGTGTTGTTAGTTCCAGTAACTTATCCATTTTCCTATTAATGGAATCCTTGAGTGGCACAAATAGATGAGCATTTAGCTACTAACTGAAAGGTTGGAGATTCAAATCCACCCAGCGGCGTCTCAGAAGAAAGCCTGGTAATCTACTTCTGAAAGGTCACAGCCATTGAAAACTCTATGGAACACAGTCCTACTCTGAGACACATGGGGCCACCATGAATTGGAATTGACTTGGCAGCAACTGGCAGGTTGTTCTAGTTTTTCACCATTGAAAATGATGAGCAAGTTGTATATATCTCTCAGTTTTCATGAAGCATTTTCTGGAAGAGGGATTATTAGGCCATTAGGTGGGTTCATCTTCAAATTTATAGAATACTCACAAATTGTTCTCCAAAACAGTTGCCCAGTTTATATGCGTCCAGCAGTCCTTAATGCCCTACGCTCACATCTCCACCAGTATTAAGTATCACTAAACATCTTAATTCTGCTAGTCATAGAAGTGTCAAATGGCATCTTATTCTGGCTTTAATTAACAATTCTTTGATCAGTAAGGTTCAGTATCTTGTCTGTCTTGGCATATGTTTATTAGCAATTCAGTTTTCCTCTTCGTGAGTTGCCTTTTCATAATCTATGCCCATTTTCTTTTAAATTGGTTGTTTGCCTTATTTTTAATTATTAATTGTCCTTTGACAGTTATTTCATAGTCTGTGGCTTGATTTTAGCTTTGTTTTCTTTTCTATAAAAGTTGTTTTGTTTTGTACAGAAGTTGCCTTTTAATTTTAAGGATGTTGGATTCATTCTCTTTATCCTGAATATGTATTATCTTTGCATATTTAAGAGAACCTTTGTATACACTAAAATACTAAATATAGTCTGAATTTCTTTTTAAGAGTTTTAATGTTGTTTTCTCACTTTTGGACCTGGAGTTTATTCTTGGATACAGTGTGAAGAAGGAAATCTATTTTTTCCACTGATTCCTCATTCCACTTTGGTCATATATCAAGTTTCTTTAGACATATTTGTTTCCAGCATGCTTTTCTATAGCACTGATATGTTTGTCTATCTCTGCACCAACACCACACTATCTTAATTCCTTTCTTCATTCTTATGTGGGAAGGCATGTTCGTTCTCTGCTGCTCATCAAATTTTTTTACCTTTAAGATAATTTCAAAAAGTAATCACACAAACATTATAGGAACATTAATAGAAATAAACCAATGATGAAAAATTTATTGATAAGTCAATCACCAAATGAATGAATTTTTTTATATTTTTCAAGTCTTCCTCTAGTCCTTGCCCATATAAACACACCAAGATTTCTCTGGTTAATGTAATCATAGTGTCAATAATATTTCATTTTGATTTGTTTTCTACCTAATGATTTATCATGACTATTTGTCCATGTTGTTATATACCCTTCCTAAAAATTTTAAGGATCACTAGTTGGAAAATATGGCCTTGGTGATAGAAATGACACCAGAGATTGCATGATAGAATTTTGCAACACCAACAACCTATTCATTGCAAATACCTTTTTTCAACAACATAACTGACACCGTGGTTAAGAGCTGGGCTGCTGACCAAAAGGCTGGCAGTTTGAATCCACCAGCCACTACTTGGAAACCCTGTGCGGGCAATTCTACTCTGTCCTGTAGGGTCACTATGAGCCAGAATCGACTTGACAGTAACAGGTTTACACATGTGGACCTCGCCGGATGGAAAACACAAGAATCAAATTGACTACCTCTGTGGGAAGAGACAATGGAGAAGCAATATTATCAGTCAGAACAAGGCCAGGGGCCAACTGCAGAATGGGCCATCGGTTGCTCACATGCAAGTTCAGGATGAAGCTGAAGAAAATTAAAACAAGTCCACGAGAGCCAAAATACAACCTTGAATATATTCTACCTGAATTTGGAGACCATCTCAAGAATAGATTTGACATATTGAGCACTAATGGCCAAAGACCAAATGAATGATGGGATGACATCAAGGACATCATACATGAAGAAAGCAGAAGCCATTAAAAAGACAAGAAGAAAAGAAAAGACCAAAATGGATGTCAGAAGAGACTCTGAAACTTACTCTTGAACATAGAGTAGCTAAATTGAATGGAAGAACTGATGAAGTAAAAGAGCCGAACAGAAGATTTCAAAGGGTGGTTTGAGAAGACAAAGTAAAGTATTATAATGAAATGTGCAAAGACCTGGAGTTAGAAAACCAAAAGGGAAGAACACACTCAGCATTTCTCAAGCTGAAAGAACTGAAGAAAAAATTCAAGCCTTAATTTGCAATTTTGAAGGATTTTGTGGGCAAAATATTGAATGACTCAGGAAGCATCAAAAGATGATGGAAGGAATACACAGAGTCACTGTACCAAAAAGAATTGATCGATGTTCAACCATTTCGGGAGGTAGCATATGATCAAGAACCAATGGTATTGAAGGAAGAAGTCCAAGCTGCACTGAAGGCATTGGCAAAAACCAAGGTTCCAAGCATTGATGGAATACCAATTGAGATGTTTCAACAAACAGATGCAACACTAGAAGCACTCACTTGTCTATGCCAAGACATTTGGAAGACAACTACCTGGCCAACCAGCTGGAAGAGATCCGTGTTTGTACCCATTCCAAAGAAAGGTGATCCAGTAGAATGAGGAAATTATCAAACAATATCATTAATATAACACGCAAGTAAAATTTTGCTTAAAATCATTCAAAATCGATTGCAGCGGTACATTGACAGAACTGCCAGAAATTCAAGCCGGATTCAGGAGAGGATGTGGAACGAGGACAATCATTGCTGATGTCAGATGGATCTTGGCTGGAAGTAGAGAATACCAGAAAGATGTTTATCTGTGTTTTATTGACTGTGCAAAGGCATTCAACTGTGTGGATTATAACAAATTATGGATAACATTGTAAAGAATGGGAATTCCAGAACACTTAATTGTGCTCATGAGGAACCTGTATTTACACCAAGAGGCAGTCATTCAGGCAGAAAAAGGGGATACTAAGTGCTTTAAAATCATGAAAGATGTGTGTTAGTATTGTATCCTTTCACCATACTTTTTCAGTCTGTATGCTGAGCAAATAATCCAAGAAGCTGGACTGTATGAAGAAGAATGTGGCATCAGGATTTGTGGAAGACTCATTAATAACCTGAGATATGCATATAACACAACCTTGCTTGCTGAAACTGAAAAGGACTTGAAGCACTTACTGATGAAGATCAAAGACCATAGCCTTAGTTTGGATTACACGTCACAGTAAAGAAAGCACAAATCCTCATAACTGGAACAATAAGCAACATCATGATAAATGGAGAAAAGATTGAAGTTGTCAAGGATTTCCTTTTACTTGGATCCACTATCAACACCCATGGAAGCAGCAGTCAAAAAATCAAAAGACTCATTGCACTGGGCAAATCTGCTACCAAAAAACCTCTGTAAAGTGATGGAAGATCATTTTAAAGTGTTGAAAAGTAAAGTTGTCATTTTGAGGACTAAGGTGAGCTTGACCCAAATCTTGATGTTTTCAATAGCCTCATATGCATGTGAAAGCTGCAAAATGAATAAGGAAGACCAAGGAAGAACTGATGACTTTGAATTATGGTGTTGGTGAAGAATATTGAATATACCGTGGACTGCCAGAAGAAGAACAAGTCTGTCTTGGAAGAAGTACAGCCAGAGTGCTCTCTGGAAGCGAGGATGGCAAGACTTCATCTTATGTACTTTGGACATGTTATCAGGAGGGACCAGTCCCTGGAGATGGACATCATGCTTGGTAAGATGAAAGGTCAGCTAGAAAGAGGAAGACCCTGAACGAGATGGATTGACACAGTGGCTGCAACAATGGGCTCAAACATAGCAACGATTGTGAGGATGGCCCAGGACCGGGCAATGTTTCATTCTGTTGTATATAGGGTCACTATGAGGTGAAACAAAAATTTTAATGTATAGTTCTTTAATCTTAAGGACAGTACAAAGGCCAAGTTTACATTATATAAGAGAGCAAGTTAGAAGGCAGAAATTGGTGCATTTCTCCTCTGTTCCATCAAAGATGTGTTTAGATGAGATTGGCCTCTCTTGTTTGCATCTATTGAGAGCAGAGCAAAATTACAGAATTTTCTTCTTAGTCCATTCAACATAAATAAAGTAGCTTTCTACAGTAATCTGCAGGTCTGTTCCCTTAGTTTACACGAGGATTACACGTTTGATCTCTTCCTCTGAATCTAATCAGACATTTTTAATTCGGCATCCCATAGGGATGCCTCTCGTAAGACTCACGGCTTGCTTTGCTGGTGCTGACCGCTAATGTGAAATCTTGCTGATTCTAGTCAAATACGAGAGTTAATGTTGTCTGTGGCCAAGACCAGGTAATCTTTGAGTCTCTGGAACCTGAAACTTTATCCGAATTGTGAATTTCTGCACTCATCTCTGTTATATCACTGAACTTGAGAATACCACAACGGGGAGGACCTAAAAGGAACTGGGAAGAAAGACCTGGTGATATACTTCCAAAACTCAGCCAGTGAAAACCCTAGAGATCACAACTCTCCAATTCACAGCCAGTCATTAGGATGGCGCAGGACCAGGCAGCACCTTGAGTTGGGGACTGACTCAATGAAAGCTAACAACAACAAAATGGTGGAGAGAAAGGGAACCAGACAGACCTAC